ATGAAGGTCAATCTGGAATCAATTTGTGTGTGTGTGTGTGTGTGTGTGTGTGTGTGTGTTGCATGTGAACACCAGAGGTCAGTCGTAGATGTTCTTCAGGTTAGCCATGCACCTTGTTTTGTGAGACAGAGTCTCTTACTGGGACCTGGACTTACCAGTTAAGCTAGGCTAGCTGGGCAGCAAGCCTCAGTCTCAGATTTCCCAGATACTGTGATTACATGCATGTAACACCATGTCTGGCTTTTTTCATGGGTTCTGAGGCTTGAACTCAGGTCCCCATGTTCATGCATGGCAAACACTTTGCCAACTGAACCATCTCCCTAGCCTCAGTAGTTCTGTGTTTTTTAAAGCTGCCCGTGAGCTGAGTTGTTCCTTGAAACAGGGCTTGCATCCCTCATAAGCTGTGCACATAAGCCCAGGGCCCCACTTGCCTGTACCTCCTCTCACTTTTGCCCTATCTCCAAGTAACTCTTCTGAAGACTCAGCCCAGCCTGATCCTCCGGTGCCTGTCATTTGGGGAGGTTGTTCAGGGAGTGTTGATATGGGTTCTGACTGTCTGGTCTGCAGCATAGAAGTTTTGACATGTACTAAAAGTCGGAATCATTCAGTGGAGTGCACAAAGTCTCAGTCTGCCTGGACATTGTGCTCTGCCTTCTTACAGAATCCTAGTCTTCATGGATTCCATGAACCAGTAAAGCAGAGAGAACCTGAAGAGACCAATATGAGGGTCAGCAAGGGGGCACAACGCTCAGGGGGGCTGAGGCAGGAGGATCACGAGTTCCAGATCAGCCTGGGTTACATATTGAGACTCTTTCTCAACAAAGCACAGCAGAGCACATCATGGCATGAGGAGGGCCCCTGTGAGCAGACATGGACTGCAGTGTGATGAATTTTGGCAGTCCCCATTCCCAATTCGGGTGTGGTTTCTTGTTGTAGTATCTTATTGGTTCCCTCATGAATGAGATAACATTTAAAAAAATAATTTATTGGGAATTTCATACATGCATATAAGATGTTTTGGTCAAATCCATGCCCACTCCCTCCCCTCCAACTCCTCCTCCCATATCTCCCCATCACTTTTTTTCTGATAACTTCACGTACTCTTCAATCATTTTAACAAGGGCTCAGATTTATACAGACTTTGGAAGAGCCTAAGACAATTCCCCACCACCTGCATAATAGCTCTACATCGTCATTGTTCCCCAGTCATACACTTCCCTCTGAAGACGTAACCCTAAAATCTTTTAAGGAATAGATGAAAGCTCCCAAATACTTTCGACATTTTTGGCCTTTGGACCAGAGTATGTTGCTAATAGGCCCAAGGACATTGTGAGTTTTAGCCAAGAAACAGGCTACTTTTCTTTGGGGTCTTTTACCCTAACTGCCTAGCCAATTCATATTTCCTATTCTTATTACACCATTCTGTGACGAGGTTACCCAGCTTGCAGATAGGGAATTGGGACCCAGACTGCTCTGGCTTCTTCCATGCTGAACAGGGATGCAGGGTGAAGCACCTGGGGTACCCCTTCAATGGGTCTATTTAAAGAATGAGATAACATTTTTGATGCGTTTCCATTTATATATTATCATAGGCATGATTTTCACTTTTGAGAATTTCTTTTAGCATTAGGTACATTATATACTAAGTACTTTTCTAGATATATTATGTGTGTAGTTAGCAAACACACAGAACACACTTTTATATTTTGAGTGCTGGTTTAAGTCCTTTATAAATAGTAACTAATCCAGTCATTACAATAGGCCCATTTCATCGAAACATCTCCCCCCGGCTCTTTTCAGTCAAATGTATCAAAGTAAGGCTCACAGAGGCCAGGAATCTTACTGACCACTGTGCCATCACTAAACATCAGGTGTGAAGGAACATCAGGAAGACTGAGGCAATCAATCTTCCTAGGCACTGCTGCACTCCCTAAGTTTTATGTTGAACCCCTGCTTCCAGTGTTGTGGTAACAGCAAGTAGGGCATTTTGGAAGCAAGTAGGTTTAAATGAGGATATGTGTCCCGCGATGGGATTAGTGTCCTTTCAAGAAGGCTTCAAGAAGGTGGCAATTTCTTTGTCTCTACCATTTGAGGACACAGCAAGATGTCATTCTGCAAACCAGGAACTGAACTGACCAGAGCCATGAACTTGGACTTCTCAGCCATCAAAACTATGAGGAATAAATGTCTATGGTATCTTAGTTACAGCAACGCTAGATCACTCACGCACTCCCTCAGAGTGAGCTGTGAGCTGCGGGAATGGGATGAGGAAGGTATCTTCTTCACTTTTCACCTTCATTTTTTGGGAAGTTCTATCTATCTATCTATCATCTATCTATCTATCTATCTATCTATCATCTATCATCTATCTATCTATCATCTCTCCATCCATATCTATCTATCTATCTATCTATCTATCTATCTATCTATCTATCTATCATCTATCATCTATCTATCTATCATCTCTCCATCCATATCTATCTATCTATCTATCTATCTATCTATCTATCTATCTATCATCAATCATCAAAAATCTATCATTTATCTCCCTCACCTGTTTATCATCTATCATCCATCTATTTCTATCATATATCTATCATCTCTCTCTATCTCTCTCTATCTGTTATCGTTTATCTATCTACCTATCTATCATCTATCTATCATCTATCTAATCTATCTATCTA